CCCCGCCCCGAGCCTCTCGGAGAGGGAAGTCATTGCGTCCTGAACCCCGAGTTGGGACACCGAAGTCTCGAGCGCTGCCAGTCCGGGAGGCGGAGCCGGAAGCGCCTCGGTTTGACCCCCAGAGTCCCTTTGTTTTCCGAGGGGCGGCTGTCTGCTCCCGATTGCTCCGCCGTCCGTGATCCCCCGTGACCCGGAGGCCGAAGCCCCCCCAGGCAGGGCAGGGCGGCCCCAACTTCAGAGCCGGAAGTAGGCGTCCTCTTCCCCACTCGGCCATGGAGCCCACCGTGCCGTCCCTCACCGAGGAGGACCTGACGGAAGTGAAGAAGGACGTGAGTACTGGCGCTGCCCGGCCCGGGTCCGGCGGGGCGGGCGGGAGAGGAAAGCCGAACCCCAGACTGCGGGTGGGAAGAGCGACAGGTCCGGCCAGGCTCGGACCCCGGCGCCGTCCCTGCACACGGGGCCCTCGGTGGATGGCCCCCACCCCAACATGGTAACGATACCCACCTAAGCCGGGCGGAGACTCTCAGACCTTCAGCAGCAGGTTTCCTCGCAGTCATTTCTTTCCCACACGCGGCCCCCGCGACCCCCCCCCCACACACCCTCACTTCACTTGGAGCTGCTCTGTTGCCGAGTTGCGGTTCCTGCTCATCCTTAAGTCAGACTACCCAGGCTGCCATCTCAACATGGAGCGAAGCTGGACCGGGAAAGAATCCTAGAAGGGCAAACACGGGAGAGGTTTGCAGAGGGAACTGGGCGACCTCGCCAGCTGAAAGTGCCATCTGGAATTCCCCTAGTATAAGCAGACGCCCACATATTTAAATGGGGTTGGGGATCACTTGTAGTTGAGAATTAATTTGCAGACAAATGTTGAAAATACTCAGTAGCGGGCTGGGAGGATGGCTCAGTGGTAGAGTGCTTGTCTCACATGCAGGATGCCCTGGGTTCGATTCCTCAGCACCACATAAGCAGAAAAACCTGGAAGTGACGCTGTGGCTCAAGTGGTAGAGTGCTGGCCTTGAGCGGAAGAACTGAGGGACAAGCCCAGGCCCAGAGTTCAGGCTCCACGACCTACAAAAAAAAAAGAAAAAACTCAAGAACTAAATTATATTCTTCTGCTTGGGTGAGGCAGAGCAGTACAAAACCTTAAGTTGGTAAAGAATGATTTCGTTGAAGTGTGATTTGTGACAAGCAAAAAAGCAAATATTTTACTTGTTTTGCCACATGGGGCTTAGATGACACCACTAAGGTACCACATTATTTCCAATTAAAAACAGAAATGCAACATGAAGTGTATTATTACTTAATATTGCAGTACTTTCACAAAAGCACCTTTTTCTGGTGTAGGAGAGGGGGTGTTTTTTGTACCAGTCCTAGCACTCAAACTCAGGGCCTCCTGGGCCCTTAGTTTTTTCATTCAAAGTTGTCATTACCACTTCAACCATAGCTCCACTTCTGGCTATTTGCTGGTTGAGAGTCTCATAGAATGGCTTCAGATCTGGATCCTCAGATCTCAGCCTCCTAAGTAACTAGGATTACTTGACAGCTAGTGTTTGAATGTTCATGAACCTCAAGTCCCTTTCTCATCCATCCTTAAAAGGTTTACTACACTGTTCTCATCTTTATACTTGGTATTACTCATCAGCAGTAGGAAATGGGATGTGACTGGGATTTGTGCCTCTCTTTCAGCAGGAATTTATGGAGTACTTATTGTATGGAAAATACCTTTTGGCCTGAAAGGATTAAAACAAAAAAAAAGGTCAGGCCAATGTTTTATATTCTAGTTAAGATGGGGAAATTTATAATTACAACAGAATAAATAAGTGTTGTCTTATTCAAGATGTCAGTAAAGACAAGAACTTTAAGAAGTACATCTACTATGTTGCAGATTTTGTGTCGTACAGTTTTTCCCTCATCCTCACAACAAACCTCTGAGGAAGACTCTTGCTCTTCTCATTTTACAACTTATTAAGACAGAACCTGATAGATTACCACCAGGAGGGAATAATCAGAATACCAATATGAAGTTTGGCTTCCAGGCTTTTGTAGTTCTTTTGTTGATGCATTCATGCGGTCCCTTTTTGCCATTCCAATTAATACCTGTATTTGAAAACCATAACCTTGAGGAAACTGTAAAATTGCTTGCTTGCTTGCTTGCTTGCTTGCTCTTTTTGGTTGGTCCTGGGGTTTGAATTTAAGGTCTGGATGCTGTCCTTTAGCTTTTTTGCTCCAGGCTGACACTCTCATTTTGAGTAACAGCTCCACTTCTGGTTTCCTGGTGGTGAATTGGAGATAAGAGTCTCATGGACTTTGCTGTTTGGTCTGGCTTTGAATTGTAATCCTCAGATCTCAGTCTCCTGAATAACTAGGATTATAGGTCTGAACCTTGAGCACCTGGCTAAGCTTTTATTTCTTAATATATGTTGGAAATCTAGTTTTTATCTCCTGCAAATTACTCTCCTGTGTTATCAGAAATTGAACTTTTCGGTTACCATCCTTCATCAAAAGTTGCTTGCTTTTCCCTTTGTAGTGTCTGCCTTGATGAGTGGTTTTGTTCTGTGGTTTGAGTTACATGTGTTTAGTTATTTAACTGAAAATCCCAGAAATCCTCATTTTAAATTGTGTACTATTTTAAGTAATGTGATGAAATTCTGTGACATCTCACTCCATTTAGCTAGGGGCATAAACTATCCCTTTTTCCAGTGTATAACATTCTGTGTCTTACCTGTTCTCTAGTCATTTAATAGTTATCTCATTTATTGTATTGGCTTTTATAGTACCACAGTGTTTGTGTATCTGTTCGAGGTTCCAGGCATTTACTGAGGATTTAGTAAAGTATCCTCTCAAATAACTGTGGGTGTGCTTTGCTATCACTAAACTTCCTGGGAATTCCCACTTTTTACTATCTCATCCGCCCCTTCCTCATCTAATATTTAGAACATCTTTTTAGTTGAGTTTGGGCTTGCATGAATTAATACTGGATTACATGGTATTAGGTTAATATAATTGGTTTTAACCATTCAAAAATGAAGAAATAATTTCAAGAAGCTCAATTTCACCAATAAAGAGACTTGGACATTGTTGGGTCTTTGTCCGTCCCAGGAAAGGTAAGTACGGCTGCTCGCCTGTTGCCCAGCTCCCCTCAGCCCAGGAGACAATCAGATACAGCGGGGACTCAAGTCTAGCCGGAACTCATTTATTACCACACAGCAAGCCCTTTTAAAAGCAAAAAAGAGCGGGTGGCATGACGGGAGGAAGAGGAACCAATCACTGTCAAGGTCACACCCTGTCATGCACCTAAGCTTCCACGGGCTGGTTACTCGCTGAATGTAAAGAAAATCGGGCTCTGCCCACTCAACTCCCTCCCAGCGCCATCTTTGCTGCTCATGTGCTCTACAGGACATTAGATCATCTTTTGTTGTTGGTGGTGGTGGTCATGGGGCTTCAGAGCCCAGGCACTATCAGTGAGCTTTTCTTATCACTTTGAGCCACAGCTCAACATCCAGTTTTCTGGTGGTTAATTGGAGATAGAGTCTCACAGACTTTCCTGCCCTGGCTGGCTTTGAACCTCCACCCTCAGATCTCAGCCTCCTAACTAGCTAAGATTACAGGTGTGAGCCACCAGCACCCAGCAAAATAATCATTTTAAATTACAAAATAAGTGCAATGAATTTGCATCTGTCCAAAACATCATCTCCCTAGCACTCTGGGGAATATTTATAGTACTGAACAAAACACCCCTGGTCCTCACCTGCTTCAAACATTTTTGTAAAGATCCTTCTCCATATTCTATGGACTGAGGAGAATCAAGTGAAGAGACTTCTAGAGTTTATGTAGTAAAAGATAAGAGATTTGAATCAGGGTGAAACAATGGAGATACATAAAGCATAACTCTAGATGCACCTAGTGAAATAGAAGTGTCAGGACTTGGTATCAAATAAATGTGAGGGTGGGGAAGTTGGCACAGGAGTCAAACAGGCTGGCGCTGATTGGTTGACACAGAGATAGGGCAGGCCTTGCCCTGCCGGGAGGCGGTGCCTCCCTCCTCCCCCCCCCCCCTTCCCCCCCCCCCCCCCCGCCCCGAGCCTCTCGGAGAGGGAAGTCATTGCGTCCTGAACCCCGAGTTGGGACACCGAAGTCTCGAGCGCTGCCAGTCCGGGAGGCGGAGCCGGAAGCGCCTCGGTTTGACCCCCAGAGTCCCTTTGTTTTCCGAGGGGCGGCTGTCTGCTCCCGATTGCTCCGCCGTCCGTGATCCCCCGTGACCCGGAGGCCGAAGCCCCCCCAGGCAGGGCAGGGCGGCCCCAACTTCAGAGCCGGAAGTAGGCGTCCTCTTCCCCACTCGGCCATGGAGCCCACCGTGCCGTCCCTCACCGAGGAGGACCTGACGGAAGTGAAGAAGGACGTGAGTACTGGCGCTGCCCGGCCCGGGTCCGGCGGGGCGGGCGGGAGAGGAAAGCCGAACCCCAGACTGCGGGTGGGAAGAGCGACAGGTCCGGCCAGGCTCGGACCCCGGCGCCGTCCCTGCACACGGGGCCCTCGGTGGATGGCCCCCACCCCAACATGGTAACGATACCCACCTAAGCCGGGCGGAGACTCTCAGACCTTCAGCAGCAGGTTTCCTCGCAGTCATTTCTTTCCCACACGCGGCCCCCGCGACCCCCCCC